TAATTTGGGCATTTATTAATTTAACCAACAGAGAGTCATTGAGGAAGGCCTGGTGTGATCTAGTGGTTAGTATGTCCGGACTGTGAACCAGAGGACTCATGGTTCATGATCCACTGACACAAAAAAAAGGCTCCTTACTTTGGGGCAGTGGGTACTCTATACGAATGACAGTCGAATCCCACTGTTCGTTTAAACAAGAACAGCACAACAGTTAACGGTGGGTACTGTTGACTAGCATTTTCTCTAACCTATCACTTCAAAATTAGAGACGGCTATGCACAGATATGTAGCTTTGAGCGATATTCCGAAACATACAAACCCTATTGCTTATGCCCTCCAGTGGCACAGCGATATGTCTGCGGACATACAAGCCTAGAAACTGGGTTTCGATATCCGTAGTGGGCAGAGCACAGACAGCCCATTGTGTAGATTTGTGCTTAACTTCAAACAAAGAAACAAACCTATTGCTTATATATATATATGTTATTTTTAGGCTTATTTTTGAATGTAGTTTTCAAGAGATTTCGATCAAAGCTAACAAAGTTGTAAGGTATCCATTTTTAAGAGTATACAGATACCTTAGGTATAAATGTATCATGAGTTTGTTTTCTTGTGATCTGTGTCACGACTAGTTCGCACGGCTCTTCGAAGTCCTATGGTAATGGACCTAAATAAAATACTCTTTTATTACCTTCCTAATTACTGTTTGTAATCTTACCTGTGTTCATATCAATTATTCTAACACATTTAATGAATGCTTTTGAAAACTGAACAATATAAGAATCCAAGATTTTGTTTTCTATCTACCTCATTCCATAACTGCTTACAAGTAAAAATCAAATTATAATATAATTTACTCGCTTGAGAAGTATTTAGTCATTTTATATATATTTTTTTCTAAATAAAGATAAACATCATTGTCTATAGAAACCAATGCACTTTACATACATTACGCTGTTGCACCTAAGTGTTAATAACTCCCTGATACAACAAGAAAAGTTTTAACAATAGCTAAATCTGTAAAAAACAAGACATGGTATATTGCATGAACTAAATAGACTATCATTAGAGCACTACAGTGTTCAAGTTAGAAAAATAGATTGGGATTATAAAGTCTACTAAGAACATTAAACTTTCTCGCCCAGCGAATGCTTATTTGTCACTTTGTTTCTTTTCAGGAATTGCCAGAGTTTTTAGAAAATACATCAAGGTTTGCTAGATTTTTGGATTGGAAAAGTGTTTATGTTCCAATGTGTCTAACGAAGGTTCTCGACAGTTGACAAAATAATTCTACTGTTTGAAACGTTAGAGATTCTTCTGTTTAGTACCTGCTACAGTTTCATCTACCAATGGCAAGGCATGCATACAATTTCAGTAATCTTATTCCAAAATTTTGCAAATAACTTCTGAATCAAAATCATCACTAGGTATTTCAACTCAAATGTACTGATTTTAACAAAAGAAAAAATGTTATTGTATTTAGATAAATCATTAAATGTACTTACAGGAAACATTTTATACCACAAATTCATAAAATACTGGCTTTTTGAAGGATTTGTAGTGATTGGTTTATAAGTCCCAGGTCTATCCGAGTCTTGAAATTGGAATTTTATTTCGAATTTCAGGTTTAACGAGTATTTACTGAAATTAATATCTAAATGTTTTCATATTTATATCATTAATTGTTGAAAAACATGCGTTTGTTTAAATTAGTTAGACTTAATGACTGGAATTTCATTGAAAACAGAAAATTATTTTAATAGAAATAATAATACTATTAAAAAGGACCAGTAAAAGAAATGAAAAGTAGTATTTCTTTCCTTGTAGAATGCACGGGTAGTACATCGATTTCAAACTATAGAATAATCATAATCTAAAAAAACAACAACAAACCATTATTTGTAGTTTATTTAAAAAATGCAGGAATTGACTGAACATTTTCATCAAGAGGGGTTTGGTTTGAAAAAATGATTAAATCGTTAATTTGTGAGATGTTAAAAGATGAAAGCGTTGAGTAAATACCTGTATCCCAGAAATAAATCACTAACTTACAGGGCATAATAAAGGTAGAGTAAACACCTTCATCGAGTGAAATCTAGTTGCAAGATCCAATCAAATCATCACGTTGTGGATAGTGGATATGTGCTACGATTGAGTAAACATTTATATCAATTCAAATCTACCTACAAATAAAATAGATTGAGTTCATAAAACAGTTGATACATGATACAAAAGTTAGCATAGACATACAAATAATTATTGATAGCATAGAGGTATAAGAGGCGGAACATAACCGAAGATTTACCATCCCCTTTAAGTTGAAAATGTCCATTTTAAATTCAAATAAAGAAAAATAAAATACAAAAATTATAAAAATACATCTAATATCAAGAAGTCTGATCTTATTATGTGAGAATTACTTTGTTTGATATGACAACTACTTTGCCATCCTCTTTATATTTCGATAATTAGATTTATCCTTTTCGCTTTAACATAGTAATTTTACATCCTCTCTCCATTAATGTGTAAAGAAAAATATTCATCACCTGAGAATCCTGTGGAATAGATAAATAAGTGAGTCGTCAATTTGAAATAAATCAACACAATCATTATTTAAAAAAAACTATTCCGTCTTTATTAAGTTGCTCTTTCTGTAACTTTATTTATGTAGTAGTTTCAAGAAACATTTTTTTGGACGCTGTTGCTGAAATTATCAGCGAAAATTTTCAATAGCCTAGAAGAGAAAACCTCGTTTTTTTATTAGAAATAGATACATTTATAAAAAGCAGTTTTATGAAAGTATTTTTTGTTGTTGTTGATAAATCTACAATTAAAGCCAAGTATATGGAAATATTTCTGATGGCTTAAGGATATCAAAGTGCTGTAAACATTACTTGCTGATAAAATATTCTGTATGAATAAACCAATTAATATAATGAAATATTTTATGTATCTATTCCCATGTTAACGAAGTGTTCCTTTTATATATTTCCAAACATGCTGTTTCTTTAAACCTTTTCAAGCACTAATTTTTCTACTATTGTCGATGGAAAAACAAAACATCAAAATGTTCATTTTTCTTCACTATGTTAATAAAAATACTTAATATTTTACACTATTTCATCTCTATTTATCTTTTGGATTAATACTTTGTTTGTTTGTTTCATAATTTTGCGCAAAGCTACACAAAGCTGCGTATAGTTGCCCCTAATTTTGAACTGATAAACTAGAGAGAAGGAGATGATGAACAGCACCCGCCGCCAATGCTTGACAACCACTCTTATAGCGTACCCACGGCACCAAAGTACGAAGCGTATTTTAACGGCGAGGTGCGAACCACGATCCTTCGGATTGAAAGTCCGTGCTAATCACTAAGCCAAGCTCGGCCTATTAGCCAATTCACTGCGGCTGGTACACATATAGATTCTTGCTCTTAAAATCCCCGCGTGAGGCCCTTTGTCATAAATACTTGTGCTAATGTTGTCCATCGACATTCCACTATATTGTGTAGAACATACTGAATGAGTAAACGAGTCATTGTCAAGAGAACCATCTTGGACGACCGCGGATTTTTTATGTTAATTACAACAGTATAATTTTCAGAAATGGTCTCCCTGTATGATAATGGCACCGGAGGATACTGAGGATAGTTTATTTACGTAAGAACTATCTTAAAATATCATAAAATGTTTTTGTTGATGAAACGGCTTAAACTTTTGGAGGTAATTGAACTCTTATGAAAAACAATTTAGGAAAATATAATGAAGTAGATGGTTAATGTGTTTTGAATGTGTCATCTGAAGACTGAACGGGCGAAGTTCGTGGTCAGCGCGCACGCACTATGAGAATTCATGTTTTGGGATCCATTGCTGCAAAAAAGTGCTCACTTTGGGGTCGTGGGTGCGCCATGAGAAGAATGACAGTGAAATCTCACTATTCGATCAAGAGTGGGCGGTGGGTCTTTGGGGTCGTGGGTGCGCCATAAGAAGAATGACAGTGAAATCTCACTATTCGATCAAGAGTGGGCGGTGGGTCTTTGGGGTCGTGGGTGCGCCATAAGAAGAATGACAGTGAAATCTCACTATTCGATCAAGAGTGGGCGGTGGGTGTTGTTGGCATTCTACCTACCCTCTGGTCTATCAGTTCAAATTTAAGAACGACTATGCGCAGAGATAGCCCCTGTGTAGCTTTGGGCAAACATTCTGGGACAACATCTGGAGACAAAAACATGGAAAGGTTGAAATGGCTACCAGACATTTTTCTGTTGCAATAATTTTATTTTGTGGTTATTATGAAAGAGTGGTTCAAGTTATATTTTATTTGCAAGGTCACAGTGACATCAACATGGCGAAAGTGTAGTCGCGTTGAAAACAGACAAAATAAGGATGAGTTATCTGTCACTCTACTTGTCTGTTTTTCGATATATGTACCACGATACAAAATCCTCGACTTTAAAGAATTTGGCATTTTTAATTGAAAAACAATAACAACAACATTATATGATGATGTACTAATAACGTAACTAAGAAGCGGAACTACGTCTGAAATAGGCTTAGAGTTTCGACCAATAGAGAACTTAATAGGTAAAGCACATCTCCTTCAGAAAAATATGTGACGTGAAAATAAAATCAATATCATCCTTACAAGTTACATATAAAATCAATTGAGTATAAGCTTGATGAGGGAAAGACCATATGAAATCAAAAATCGATCAACGTCTTGAAAGGGTGACTTCTAGTACGATTAAGAGTAAGTTATTATAGCGTTTTAATTGAAAAAACAAATCTTCTAGCTTTCCTGTTTTATTGAACTTTAAGCAATAATATTTTATTAAAAATTGTTGTTTTCGTCTATATTTGGAGGTATCAGCTGTCAATTTCTAGAAAATATTACATTTTAACAGTTGCGAGTTCATAACACGTGCAATGCGCGCCTGTATGCAATTTATTGATTCTTCTCTATAAGTGTCGCCACACACCATCCAACTGGAACTCACATTGCCTTTACTAAACGTGGAGCTAAAGCGCGCAGCCCTTGCTCGGTCCTTGGGATCTCGAGAACAGAGACGCTGGATACATCATTTCCTGTCGTGTACGGAACTTATAATTCCAGAGGCAAGGAGCGCTTGTTTGACGAAGAACGCAGGTTCACTGTTCTCGTGACATGGCTGGTTAGGCTTAAAAGGCTGAGCATCCTTAACTAATACCATCATTAATCTAAGGTAGATAAACATTTAATTAGGTTTTTCAAGGACTGGCTTACTTAACTTGTCACGAAGAGATACGATTCTTTTATACTTATGTGACATTTCTACTAATCTTCTAACTTCCTTTTTAGAAAAGCCCGAGTTTACAAAGATGAAGATTTGTACACGTTTGGTAGGAAACACTTGCGGCATTTTTCTCCTATTCATAATCAGTTTATTTATTAATGAACGAGATGTTATTGCTTACAGAGTTGACACTCTGACAAAAGGTAACACTGACAACCAAACACTCTCCATTGGACCGCTGGAAGAGGAAAGCGTCTACAATACCACAAGGAATTCAGTCTCTTACACTACAAGCATATCTGGAGAAGATTCCACGGCTCAAACCACCGATATGCTAGATGTGCAAACTGCATCATATTCCAGTGATCCACCAGGAGACTATACTGACATGGGAGTTGATACAATGATTGAAGAGGTCAACACAACAGACGGGGAAAACATGCCAAAAATTGATACTTGGATCCAAACAACTGACATCTTGGAAAAGGATATAACCGTTCCCTACGTCATTCATAGTCCAACCAAATCGCCATATGTTCAAAGAAGAGCTTCTTATCAGCTCTCCGATGACCAATGTTTAATAGAAGACACAGGACTTCAGGTGTGGAGGGACACTCCTCAAGGCGTGATGCTCTTGATGACCTCTGACCACGTAAGTGATAATATGTTACTTTATAACTTCATTACAACTCATATTTCTCACTTTGATTTTTGAAACCATTTCTAAGTTAAACTCCCAGCACTACTATAGGCAAAAAATGTATAACTAGAGTGTTGGTGCATGCTTTTTCTTATATTGTTATTTTTAGGTAAAATAACAAAAATGATAAATTCAATAATAAGCTAGTACTGCAATAGACTAAAGAAAGTAAGAAAGTACTGCAATAGACGTAGAACCTATGTTTCTCGTTAACATTAGGGAAGAAACATAACTTGGCACGTATTTGTTATCCTGACTTAACACAAATCGTATAATGCAAAATCAATGATAATTCAGCGCCACATAAGATCACGAAATAAATTACCTAAATGACCTTTGTGACAGAGATACGACATATAACTAAGTTTTGATATAAAACTGTTTTGAAACCTGTAATGGAGGTTTCGAATTTTTAAGAATAAGTGTACAAAACTATTAGTAAGTTTATTCTTTATGAATTTTAACACAAATGACGGTAAACTAGACGAACTAAAAGTAATTTCTGCGAAACAAAAAATATACTTCGAGTGATATTCAGATTCAATATTTTTCATCACAACATTGTTGCAAAAATTAATTTTAGTTATCTCAACTTTCTTCAGAAGAGATTCTGGGATATGTTATTAGCATTAGCACATTTTTATGAAATCTTTCAGCTGTCATCTGTTTTCTTTAAGAAATCTAAAGCGATAAATTATCAAAAAATTAAATACATCTCATATTCTAGAAGTATTACTAATAATGGTTTTTGTTTTAACAAAATAGATGTACTGTAGTATTGAAATTAGTCAGCTGTTGTATAACTTCGAACAATGAAACTATAAGCAAAAACTTGAGCACGGCATAATGTTTGGGAAATATAATAACTTCCGTGGTTCATCGAAATGATAATGAAGTGATTTATTCATTATAATTCTACTAAATGTAAGAAACCGTCCACTATCGTCAATAAATATTTGTTTTAGAACAAAGCCACATTGAGCTATCTGCTGTGCCAACCGCGGAGAATCGAACCCCGGCTTTTAGCGTTGTAAATCTGCAAAATTACCTAGAGACATCAAGAAAGAACAATGATATGGAGGTGAATTAAAAGTAGATGTACTTTAATATTACAACGTGTAAAAAAATCAAACAAACAAAAACAAATTAATAATATAAATGTTTAATAAAATAAATTGAGTTTGAGATACTAGATTGTCGTTTTGGATCATTTCTTCAAAAGTGATCCCCATTCCCAAAATGTAATAATTATTATTTCCAGTGTCGGCCCGGCATGGCCAGGTGGATAAGGCGCTCAACTCACAATCTGAGGGTCGCGGGTTCGAATCCGCATACCACCAAACATGCTCGCCCTTTCAGCCGTGGGGGCGTTATAATGTGACGGTCAATCCCACTATTCGTTGGTAAAAGAGTAGCCCAAGAGTAGCCCAAGAGTTGGCGGTGGGTGGTGATGACTAGCTGCCTTCCCTCTAGTCTTACACTGCTAAATTAGGGACGGCTAGCGCAGATAGCCCTCGTGTAGCTTTGCGCGAAATTAAAAACAAACAAACAATTATTTCCAGTATGTTTTTCATCTGATATTGATGAATAGTATGGAACATATTTATTATAGGATGGTAGAAGTTTGTATTACTTTTCACCACCTGGTAAACATTTGGTTTTAGTAAATCAGGTCCCTCGGTGGGACAGCGGTAAGTTTACAGACTTGCAACGCTAAAATACAGGGTTCGATTTCATTCGGTGAATATAGCAGATAGCTCAAGGTGGATTTGCTCTAAAACATACAAACAAACCATTAGTAAGACAGATACTTAAGGTAACATCGAATATCATGGCTAGTAGGATATAAGCGCACCTAAGCCTAATTATCAATTATTTTTGTGTTACTAATTATTGTTTAATGTGTATCATATGGTTGATCTGCTAATCTGCTGCAGTCTCCAGTAGTAGTGCTGGGATTCCACCCCGGATGTTTTTTCTTTTTAGAAACAAGAGAGAATCCTCAATAGCCTCGGCACTTGAAATTATTTTAGATTAGAGTAAATTAATCTATGAAATCTTGGGCGATAGTGAACAAACAGCATTTCAGTCTTTCGAACAAGAAGACTAAGATATAATTCCAGCATTACTACCACATACTTCAGGACTTCCCTGAAGAAGGTAACAGATTAGCAGCCGAAATATAGAATAATATCTAATTCATAATATCCTCAGATAAGCTGGTTTAATAATACTAGCAGAAATACACACTCTCTGGGCAGGTATAACTGCTAGTTCCTGCGGAAGGCTATTGGGCTTGCTGCCTTTTCTAGAATTGTCTGGCAGTTCTACAACAATGTATTCATACTTAACATTCAGTAATGTTCACCATCCATGATAAAATGGATTATATTAAAACTTTAGTTTAGAAATGAAATATCATCACAGCATTACATCACAGAGTAGATTTTATTGAAGTATTTATTTACAGACACAGTTATCAATGACAGTACCTTGCTTTTCTGTTACAACACTCATGAGATTTTCACTAAAAAAAACAAATAATTTTTTTAAAGTTGTTTTTTGATTGTTTTATATTTGAAAGTTGCTCCTTTTTTGTAATTTTTATTTGTTAATTCTGAAATATAATTTTTATGGAAATTTTAATTGTTTTATTTATTGCTCAGCTATAGAAAATATTGCCTAGTTATAAAAATATTACCCAGGTATGATTGGTGATGATCGGTGAGGTAATTTTCGAGATCTGAGTTTTGAATGTATACATCGCAGGCTCCATTATAATAAGATTTTATTGCATCCAGAAAAAACGTTTGGTCACTTCAAAAACGTTTTCTGACACATAACAGAAAATGTCTATAGCTAATTTAACATACAAAAATCATTCCTGTTGGGCAAAACATTCGTCTTGAAATTACATACAAAATGGAGTCACTTCTCAACAGTGCTTAGTGATTTTCAAGTAGAGCAATTTCTTTTTTGGGCAGAATTTTTTCCTTTTAAAACACTAAAGTCCGGGGTTTGATTTCCCTGTGTGAACAGATTGCAGGTAGTCCAATGTGTAGGTTTTTGCTAAAATATTTTTTCTTCCATCTGGCATTCAGATTGATTTGGTAAAGCTCTGAATTTCGTAGCTGGTGAGCTGGGTTCGAATCTGTGTGGTATCACAAAATATTTTACGCATTTTAAGCTGTGGGTGCATTATAAGACGGACAGTCAATCCTTTAGCTTGTATAGTGGGAGATAGTAGCTGGTGAGCTGGGTTCGAATCTGTGTGGTATCATAAAATATTCTCCGCATTTTAAGCTATGAGTGCATTATAAGACTGACATTCAATCCTTTAGTGTGTGTATAGTATGTTGCTGACTCGATACCTTCCCTTTGATAAATATTTGGTCGTCAAG